GTTATAAGAAGAGTAGGGTTAAATCCTACAATATTCATTATGCTGTTTTTGTCCATTTTAAGTAAACTTACTCTTTTGTAACAGCAAAAACAAAAAATGTTAGTTGTTATTTTCTAATATAATTAATTCAGAAAAACTTTTCAGGACCCCAACTTGATGTTTTGGGACCCCATTGTGGGTCCTGACCCCAACTTTGGGAACCACAGTCCTACAGTGTACCTCGAGGAACACGGTTGAATACTTTCTCCAAGTCCACACGTAGACTGGTCCAAACTCCCATGACCCCTCGAGGGCCCTAGTGAGGGTAAAGAGCTGGTCCAGAGTTCCAGGACGGAACCTGCACTGTTCCTCCAGAATCTGAGCTTCGACCATCGACCGGACCCCTGAGCAGACCTGGAAGAATCCAGCCTCTAACCTTCCTGTTCTTCCCTCTCCAGCTCAGCTTACGACGTCGTCCTGAGACAAAAGGTTGCGGTGAAGAAGCTCTCCAGGCCMTTTCAGTCTCTGATCCACAGTCGTCGCTCGTACCGGGAACTCCGGCTCCTCAAGCACATGAAACACGAGAACGTTAGTAAAATAATAAATAAATAAATGAACGCCCAGCTKCATCTCTGCGTGTTTTCTGCTCCGTTATTGATCAGCTCTGCTCGCGTCTGTCTCCGTCTCTGCAGGTGATCGGGCTGCTGGACGTCTTCACTCCTGCAGCCTCGTTAGAGGACTTCAACGAGCTGTGAGTTCAGTTTGTTAGAAGAAAGAGATCCTGGTGTTACTGAGGGCCGCGTGGACAGAGACGSATTAAAGGCTGAGATGTCTGGTTCCCATGGCAGCTGTAACTCATCCATCCTCCCCTTCTTCTCTTCAGCTACCTGGTGACGAATCTGATGGGAGCAGATCTGAATAACATCGTGAAGTTTCAGAGGTTGTCAGACGAACACGTGCAGTTTTTAATCTACCAGCTTCTCCGCGGCCTCAAGGTAAACATTTATCTACATCATCATGTTTTATTCACTTGAAATAAAACCAAGTACTTATTACATCACTTTCAGATAGTACTATAATACTACTCTGAGGTGTTTATTAGTAAAGCAGTCTTGAATGACTGAAATTTGGCAACAAAGCTAAAACTGAGTCGTTATAAAACAACCTTAACATGGGCTTAAATTAGCAAAGTAGTGGCTAAAATTTATTTAAAAAGGCTAATAAATCTAAATGCTAAACATATATAGAACAATAGCTAAAAGCTAAAAGTAGCAGAGCACAAGTCAGGATGTAAAAATAGAAATATAGTAGCTAAAACGTTAAGCAACAAAACTGGATAAATTAGCAAAACAGATTCTAAAGCTAAAATGAGCAAAACAAAAGTTAAAAAATAACATAACACTAAACAATTAGAATCAGAACAATAGCTAAAAGCTAAAAACAGTTTAAAAAGTAGCTAAAAACATTCAAACAAAAGCTAAAAGCAGTGGAATAAAAGTTAAGAGCTAAAAACAGCACAATAGTAGCTAAAACGTTAAAGCAACAAAACTAAAATTAGCAAAACAGATGCTAATACTAAAATGAACACAAGTTAAAAAGCAGCAGAACACTGAACAATTAGAAAAAAAAAACAACAGCCAAAAGCTATTGTTTTGCATCTAAAAAGTAGCTAAAAGTGATAGCAGTTGCTATAAGTGATACAACAAATGCTAAAAGTAGCAAAATGCAAGTTAGGAGCCAAAAACAGCACTTCAGTATCTAAAATGTAAAAGCAACAGAACAGTAGATGAAATTAGCAGAACAGTAGCTAATTTTAAGTTAGGAGCTAAAAACAGCATTTCAGTAGCTAAAATGTAAAAGCAACAGATCAGTAGCTAACTGACAGATGCTAAAGCTAGAATGAGCGAAACAAAAGTTAAAAATAGCATAACACTAAACAATTAGAATCAGAACAATAGCTAAAAGCTAAAAACCGTTAAAAAAGGTAGCTAAAAACATTCAAACAAAAGCTAAAAGCAGCGGAGTAAAAGTTATGAGCTAAAAACAGCACAATAGTAGCTAAAACGATAAAGCAACAAAACTGTAGATAAAATTAGCAAAACAGATGCTAATGCTAAAATGAACACAAGTTAAAAAGCAGCAGAACACTGAACTATTAGAAACAAAACAACAGCCAAAAGCTATTGTTTTGCATCTAAAAAGTAGCTAAAAGTGATAGCAGTAGCTATAAGCGATACAACAAATGCTAAAAGTAGCAAAATGCAAGTTAGGAGCTAAAAACAGCACTGCAGTGGCTAAAATGTAAAAACAACAAAACAGTAGCTAACTGACAGATGCTAAAGCTAAAATGTGTACCACATGTTAAAAAGCAGTAGAAAAATGAACTATTAGAGAAAAACAATAGCTAAAACCTAAAAGCAGTAAAACAGTAGCTAAAACAAGTAAAACAGTAGCTAAAAGTGATCGAACAAAAACTAAAAACAGAATGCAAGTTAGGAGCTAAAAACAGCATTTTAGAAGCTAAAATGTAAAAGCAACAGAACTGTTGCTAATTTTAGCATAAGTGCTAAAGCTAAATGAGCTAAACAAGAGCTAAAATTAACACAGACTAGAAACAAAAATAGAGCAAAAGTTTGCTGAAGCTGAACCGTGGAGAGCCTGGAGAATAATAAGTTTAAAAAGTCTTTTGTTTGAGAGTTGGTGACCCGGTCCAGCTGCTGTTGGCCTCATCGTCGTGGAGCAAACAAAAGCCGTCTCGCTTTAGGCAAGAGCTAATGTGTTGAGCTGATCTCTTGACCTCCGTCTCCTTTATGTCCTCTCCTCCCCTCGGCCTCCCGCCTCACCCCATCGGCTGCTCAACAGTACATCCATTCAGCAGGACTGATCCACAGAGTAAGTTTCAGAACGTTTCAAACACAGATGACACAATCAGCTATATTTTTAATGTCCACGNGGATGCACTACAATCAGAACGGTGATTTAAAATAAGATTATGGAGCTTTTTGTTAGCTAGCTCGCTAAAACGCCTCCAAATAAATCTGATTGTTTCTGTTCCAGTTGACATCTGGTCAGTTGGTTGCATCATGGGAGAGCTGCTGAAGGGAAAAGTCCTCTTTCCCGGCACTGACTGTATCCTTTATGGTCGTAAAATTAGATTTACCCATCAAAACTTCTGATTCTGCGATTCTGTCCCAGTTTGTAAGCCTTAACTCTTCCTGCTCCAAGATATCGACCAGCTGAAGAGAATCATGGAGGTGGTCGGGACCCCGACGCCGGAGATGTTAAAAAAGATCTGCTCTGAACACGTGAGACAAAAAAAGGAGAGAGCTGTAAATACATGGTGAAGGGTGAAGGGTGATTGATTTACTAGTTTGTTTTTACAGGCCCAGAAGTACATCCAGTCTCTGCCCTTCATGCCTCCACAAGACCTGGAAAAAATCTTCAGAGGAGCAAACCCTTTAGGTGAGAGTCCAGTCCAACTTGGACCCGCCTAACTTCCTGCACGGGCCTGGTGTTTGAAGAAATGTGAGCCAACAAAACCAGTCTCATGCTACGCTAACACGGTCAAACTTAATCGCTAACTGAGCTCTACCTGGTATTTCCTACATAGAAA